GTTATAATTCAATCTTTTATACTTTTCTACATTTTTTATTTTCCTTCCTACATCTTCCTCTTCAGTTGTAAATAGACTGTGATGCATTTATCTACTAAAGATCTTAATGGCTATTTGTATAGAATACAATTCTTGCAGATATTCTTAACTTTTAAGACGAAACAAAAGTTAAATTATTTACTCAGAGACAGTTATTTCAGAAGACATCAATCTTTCATCTTCTTTATTTAGAAAAAAAAAAATCTACAAACTGCAAAACAACTAGTTTCAACTAATGCCTCGGGTAACTCAGTTACCACAGGCTTACAGAGCTGAAAACTGACCAGTTTAACCTATTTAAGACAGTGGTAGATTTTCATGTGCTACATCAATTCTAAATATTAGGATACTAGATGCACAAAACTTCATATTTTATTTGCAAAAAAAATTACCCTGCTTTGCACTTGGTACTTACTTAAAAGCTAGACTTGGTCTTCTGTTTTGTGCAAAATCATCATTTTTACTGATCGAAGAAAGTTAGAAATTAGATATAATGGTTTTGAGAAACATTAAAGTTTTAGTCTGACAGCCCTTAAGCAATGCTTGTGCATTAATCCAGGAGTCTCATCAGCAATTTGATTGGCCACACTTGAGATTAAAGAAGCCTTACTAACAATTACGGTAAGTTTATTTATATAGCGCCAATTCACAACACATGTCATCTCAAGGTAGCCTCGTGAGACCATCCTGATCTCGCGAGCTTTCAAGATTTCGCTCGCTAGTCAGTCTGGAGACTCTCCGTTGAAGAAAATTTGGAGCCGTTCACCAAATGAACGTCCAATCAGCATTGAGTTTGAGGCGGGTTGAGGTGTGACGCAACGAGAAGTGCGACAGTTCAGTCTAAAGAACGGTTTCAGCCGATGAAACTAGCGTTAGCGTGGCTATCGAGCAAGTTTTATCGGAATTACAGAGTATTTCTTCACTGAAAGAAGAGCAAAACACTGCTCTGGAGGCTTTTCTCAGAGGAAAAGATGTCTTTGATCTTCTCCCGACTGGTTTCGGCAAGAGTAGCCTGGCTGTTAGTAGGTCATATGCTTCGTTGATCTGATTGGTTTATTTGGCCCATCTATCACCAACATAGGCCAATCAACTGACCAGTATTTTCGCCCCTTCCCAAAATTACTTCAACCGTAAGTTTCCAGATGGATATGCGGAGCAAATCCATCTGGCGGAGTCAGGTTAATCTCAAGGCACTTTACAGAGACAATTCAACCAGATCACACAGTCAGCTTTGTTCAGAGTTTTGTATCTAAGGAAAACCAGCTTATTCAATCAACTCATTGACTTGACTCGACAATCCCTCACAACAAAGCATGCTTGTAGCGACAGTGGAGAGGAAAACCTCCCTTTTAACTGGAAGAAACCTCCAGCAGAACCAGGCTCAGTGTGAGCGGCCATCTGCTGAGACTGACTGGGGTTCAAGGAAACAGAAGAAGAAATAGAAAAAGAAGCAGAGAAACAGATTTTGACAGATTTGTGGACAGAATAAAAGAAAAAAAAATAAAGTCTTTTATCTTTTGGTTCAGATGAGGAGAGATGAGATCAAAACAGCACAGGTGTTTATATTTTGTTAAGTGTATGTCTGATATATGGGGGTCCTTACATAAAGATGCAGTTAGTGTCCCAGTTTTAAAATCCTCTTTCTAAAGATACTGCTCAGAGAAGAGTCGCATTTCCTATCGTTGTCAGTTACATTTGTCTGACATTTCAACATTTTTAAAGATTTGTGGTGCATCAAGTTCACAGGGTCAGTATTCAATCTAGTTAGTATCGATTTCCTTTATTCCCATGCTCCTACAGATGCCCATTAACCTTTCTGTTACACACAATCCAAAACAAATCATCAAACACGATAACTTTTCCGATGCAGTTATAGAATTTTCTCCGTTGTCGTTATCATTTCATTCCATGAAAAGAGAATGACTTCCAGTTAATTCAAATTTACCAGCATGCGATCGTTTTCAATACCACATGCCAATAATTCACCTGTGGATTATGTTTCCCAGCCCATCTGTCAGTTCAGATGCTAGTTAAGCAGACGCCTGCTGCAACATTATGAACCCACAGGTGCTTCATGTTCTTTGAGCAAGAGACTTTGCATTTGCTCACCATGAAATAACGTCTCAACCTGTTTTAAAAATAAATTTTCAGTTTTTTTTATTTCATTTTATAATATTTTTTAGTGGCTGCACTATGCAACATTCTAACTAAAAGCCTGTTTTAAAGTCCTAAATTGCACAGCCTGTGAAACCAGCAATCATCCTCCTTTTGGGCATTTAGAAAATAAAAACAAGCTGTATTTACACTAAAGATGATTTTTTACTTGAAATAATAGATTTTATTAAACATTTTCTACTAAAATAAATCCTACTTTTGTGCTCCTTTGTGTGATATATTAGGTCATACAATTTTTTCCCTTCATTATTAATGTCTGCTTGGACAAATAAAGAATTAACCCCCAAACGTCTTCTTGTGTATTACTTTTATTTGTCCTCAGGTTGATATCTTATATTTTTTTTAATATACTCTGAACAGTCTCTGTCTTTTAAGCTGCATTTTTAGTTGTACCCTTTTTACTCAGCCCTTTTTGGTCTAATTTGATCAATAATTTTTACCTGCTGTCCATTTAATCTGTCTGTAGGCTCAGTTTTCTACTTCCAGCTCTGTCTTCCTGACAAGCATAGCATATTGACTGTAAAGAATAAGTGGAAGCACCTGTGATTAAATGTCATTATTTCAATTTGTCGCTGTGCCCAGCTTCATGTGGAAAACAGCTTTAATTGGCCATCTGAGATCCTAAACGTCTGTAGACATTGTTCCAAACTCTCTTAGACAGACGGAGCTCTAATGATTCATTGTTTTTACTTTTTCTTGTTAAAAAAGTCAGAAAGTGTGCTTATAGGTTATAGTCTAATCAAGAGCACTGATCACATTCCATTAAAGTTGAACTTCTTTGTTTTTACTATTCATTTATCTCATGCAGGGTAATATCTCTGCTGTTAAAACAGGATTTATAATAAACATTGTCAGACTTAAATGATAAAAAAAATCTGTTTGCATTCCTGGACAATAAAAATGAGAATATCCAAGCTACAGTGCAGAGTTTGCATCACAGCTCCTGACATAGCTGGAGGTTTCTGAGATGCTGATAATAATATTTCCTGACTCTTAGACAGCATGCAGGCTCGGCGCAGAGAAACTTGATTGAATAAGGTAAGGATGCACAGGTAGGTTATCGGTTCTCATTACTGTAGGCATCCTTCACATGGACTTGTCTCCATAATTATTTTATGTATTAAATCCCCACTTTGTGAACTCCCCTTGAATTTCCCCTGCTTGTCTAGGCAGAGGTGTGAAATATACAGAGATTAAGTTTTAGTACTAAGGGGAATGATTCGAAATGGAATCTTTTTTGCTAAGAAAACAGCTTAATTAGAATGTATTCCTGCGCCTAAAACTGATCCAATGAGTTGAAAATAAGACAATCAGCCTTTACAAACTGCTGTATGCTTCAAAAATCAGGTAAAAAAGTCTGTACTTTGCAAAACTCAGATTTGGGTTTTTTTATCACTTAAAATGAAATAACATAACATACGTTAACACTGTATAGCATGATTTACTTTAGTGCAGTTGTGTCTTCAATGCTTTGTTGTAATACACACACCAGTGACCTTCTGGATGCTGCATATCTGTTCTGTTGACTGTGACAAATTTTATTTTAAAGGGCAGTCCACCAGGCTAGAAATCTAGGCCAATCTGAAGTTCCAACAGTATGTCACCTAAAACAGAAACATCTTTATCATGTGTTTCTATACCTACATATGTATCAAAACATGGATATGTGAAATTAAATGACTTTCATTGAATCGAATAACTACAGTAGCTCTTTGAAAAGGTCAGACAACTTGAAGTAATTAGATAGGACGATATAGAACCGACAATACAGTCTCTCCTTCATGGTTAACAACGTAAATGGAAATAAAAACAGTATTCAAGATGTTAGGAATACAAATGCATTTTAAAACTATTGTAAAAAATGATTAACACTGTGGGAGCAAATGCGATAAAATCACAGGCAGTATATCAAAATAAGGGATGAGGAGATTACTTTAATCAGGGAGTGTGGAAACCCCAAAGGAAAATCTCAATAATGAAAAACAACCATTGATACATGAATAAAATGAACATATTAGTTAAAAAAGAGTCTTTTGACTAACCTCATGCCTGTCTCCCTGTTTTCAACAATGCTATGACGTCAAAATCAGATTAATTTCTCCACTCCCTGAGATAATTGCCTTCCAAGAGATTGACCATTCTTTTTTATTTCCTTATTAAAATTAGGTCCCTTCACTGCCACTTGGATGTTAATTGATGTCACTCATTCTCTTCCTGATAATTTGACCAATAGGGCATTGAAGTTTGGAAAAAATGTCTCTCGGCTGGAACTGCCAGTCTGTAAATTAAGTGTCAATTATATGATTATATGGTCCATATTTTATTCATTATAGTATTTCAGAGATCAGCATGATTTCTAACAAATCACCAGTGGTTTGGCTAACGCTTCCAGAAGAGTATGCGGTTTGACATTTTTAAATGTTGGAAGAAGTAGGGACAAAAATCTGTGCTCAGTGAAAAGCAGTTTTGTCTTTTTTTAAGCGTTGGCTGCAGCTTTGGGTTTAAAAAGAAGACGAAAAAAAAAAATACAAACAAAAAAACATGTTTTTGTTTTCATAAAAGAAAAAACATTTTTTTCTTATTATTTAGTGGGACAGAAATTTTAACCATTCTTAGCCAAAAAGACAAATGATTTTGCAACATCTGTGAAAAGTACTGAGAATCAAACAAATGGTGTATCTGAAATCAACTTGAAATACAAAAGTGAGAAAATGTAAAAATGTTGTCTGAGGAAGTTAATTGTCTGTCATGAAGCTGCATAAAACACAGCCTGCAGGACAAGTGGATTACCTTTTCTCAGGCTTTGGAACAGCTGGTACTTGGTCATCAACGAAAACTGAATTGAGGGCTCTGTGTAATCTCTGGAAAACAATCAACATAATATATGATACATGTTAATAGTTTATTTACAGTCATCTTTAATTCTGTTCAGGATTTATAGCCTTTACAATAAAAAGCTCTTGTGAAACAATCCTTTAATAATTTTTACTCCAACCCTTGACTCTGGGTCAAGATGAAAAAGGGTGTATTATACGCTTGTGAATAGGCTGCAAATTGCAAACAATCGATAAGTGAAACATAGTTATGAAAACAATTATTAGACAACCTCTTATTTCTCCAGTTTTTTGTTCGTTTTAATGTCTGTTACAGGTGGAGGTATATTTTTCTGCAGAAATTGATTTATAGTATTGATATGGGTAAAAATTAATAAAGTTCTTACATTTATATCTTTGGTACTGTACTGCAAAAACAGCAATTTTTTTATGCTTTTTTTCCCTGTTTTATTCTTAAGATAAAAACTAAAGTTAGTATTTGATTGCATAAATATTATAAGCAGAGTTATACTCATAATAGGAATGAAAACAAAAGATTTAAGATGAGAATATTACATTAGATTAATAAATGCCTTTTTACCTGAGAAATGCAAATTTAATGGAAAATATGTTTAATACCTGCTTCGAGGTCGTTTTAAAACTTACATTTACTCTGACAAACAACCTCACTAGAATGTACACTTTAAACTATCTATTGTGACTTTCTACAATCTAATATAAAGTTATATTTCTTTAAATGCACATAAAACCAGGTATAGATCAAAGTCCATTTAAGTTCAGTAAAACAGTAAATGTGAGCAGAAGAAACTAAAACAGACGGCAAAAAACAGCACAATAAATAGAAAGGCTAACAAAAAAAAAAACACAATGGCAAAAATCCTCAAAAAATCTGCAAGAAATAATGATCGGTTTATAAGAGAGATTTTCGATTGAACGATCCTTAAAAAAAGCAATTTAAAAAGAAATCAAAGTTGTTTGTTGAGAAAATACTTTTCTCTGCTATTATGTTTCTTAAAGTTAAATAATTCAAATATAGCAATACATTTTTACATTCAAGTTAAGAAAATCTCCATGCTATTGACTTCTGAAGTAGCAGTTCTGTGAGCAGCAATAGGATGAAACATAACCAAATCTAAACTTGATCTTTTCTAAAATTAAGGCAATTTAATGCTGTGTAAAATTTGTAAAACAAACCTACTTGGAGCGAGGATGGGAGGCTGTCCCTTTTAAATTTTGTAGTCTTCAATTTTTTTTTTTGCAGACAGCAGTTAATCATTAAAATACCTTTTCTAAGCTACCCTGATAATGCCTCTCCTGGTAATTGTAAAAAGGTCTACTATTGTTTCTGTGTATTTTTTTTCAGTTCAGTGACCCAGTACCTGACTAGTGTGCAGCCAGTATTTGGAGCGTGGCTCCTTGACCCTCGGGATCACCAGCTTGTACACAATGTGTTCCGCTATCGTGGTCAGAAGAGATAAGGCCACGCCCACACACAGCATCACAAAGAGACCCGAGAAATGCTTTATACCCATCTGCAGTGTCTGGTAAGAGAGAGAGAGAGAGAAGGAGAGATATCAAAAGGGAAAAGTTAGTAAAATATCGAACTCAGGGGAAAGCTTCAGAGCAGAATGAAGACACATATCAGCTGCAGACTCTGTGTTACAGATGTGCGCCCCCACAGATACTCAGAGAAGCCTACAAACATGTCTGTCATGGCACAGGTTTTATTCACTTATGACAGAAATCAGAAATTTTCCAAAAAATATGAACAGAATTAAAACCTTGAATTTCTTGTTGTATTTCCTAAACTAGGTTCAAACAATTCTGACAACGTGGAAGCACAAAACCCCTACTGCCATCAGTAGACAATGTTGTCATGAAGAGCATACAATGTGAAAACTGTCAAAAAACCAAAAGAACTCAGTGATATTTATACATTTCTTTCGTTTGCCTGCAATATTTTTCCAATTCTCTAAAACCATCTATTACAACATATATGTATATATATATTTATTTTTTTCTATACATTTCTCAATACGTGTAAAGTTATAGATTGATTAGAAATAGCTTTAGAGTTGAATGTTGACATACAAAATGTACAATCTGTGAAAAGATAACTTGGTACGCCAAGATTATTAGGTTGCTGAGAAAGAAGGAGCTTTATAACTTGCAGCTAAAAATATTACAGCAAGAGGCGAAAAGTGTTTTTTACTTCTTTTCACATTATGTTTAACCCTTTCTTTCTAATGGAATCAGGTTTATCTGTCTTAAAAAAGGTCTTTCATTACAATCTATAATAGTACAAAAATCCATGACTTACTCATTTTCATTTAATTTCAATTTGTCTAGATCTTAACACCAAACTAGAGAGACAATACGATCAAATATTTTAATATTTAGCAAGTGACACTCTATGTATTACAAGTTTTAAAAATGGCCACGTGTTGCATTTTCTGCAGCTGTGCCTGCATTCTAACAAGAGAACTATTTTATTGCTGAGCACGAAGCAGCCTGTGATATGGGGCCAGCTGCAGTGATTACATTATAAAGTCCTATTGGAAACCAAAACGTGATGGATTATATTCCTCATTGCAATATGTTACTGTACCTTGGCAAGCTAGGACAAGATTTTGCATAGCGGGAGACCAAGATTCTCTAAAAGTTGAAAAGGAGACACTACTGGCAAATGATTGCAGAGGGAATACAATCTATGCAGAATTTTTTTTTAAAGAAAACCAAAGTAAATCTAGACTAGTTCTACGGGCGAGAGGTGGGGTACACCCTGGACAGATCGCCAGTTTCGCAGGGCAACACTTCTTTTCAGTCTTTATAAGATAAGGTGTTTCAAGGCGGTTTCCAGGTATAAAATGCCAGCTTGTCATTTTCTACACTGGAGTTATTCAGTTTGTCCGATGTTCGTATACCATTTGCACTTTTTCTAATCCACAAAAATGGGAGATCCAGACTACAGGTCAAAACCATTAGGTCTGCATATCTGATCATCAGGGTTGACCTTACCTCCGTTCAAGATTGTATAGATCCAGGGTCAGAAAAAGGCAGCTAACACCTCAGCTGAATCAATTCACACCACACATAGACTGTTTATATTTTATCTTCCATTCAGCCCTACAGAGAGCTATTTAAAATATCAGCTGCCACAGAGAGAGTCTCTTTACCTAGAAAATCTACATAGTCAATCTAATGAACATTTAACAGTCAGAACACCAAGATAGATTTAATTTCTGTTTCCACTTTAAGCATAGACCTGTAATGAAAATGATATGCTTTTGCTAATATAGCTCATGGAATAGATGTTCCAGAGTTAGATGATAGCCCAACAGACTTGCCTCCACAAGCAGACCATTATGACTGTTGCCATAAAGGTCTGCTTGGTACTTTTATATGAAACTTTTAATGAAAATATTTTAGGAGTAAAATCAAATACAACAGACACAGAAAATGATGTGAGAAAGAAAAAGGGGCAACACTGGCATTGAAGGAGAGAAGGAGATAGTTAAGGAGATAGAGAAAAAAGATAGAGAGAGGAAACAGCGCCCGAAAAGACAGAAAATAAAACCACTGTAAACAGCAAAAGAAGACATCACAGAAGATCAACAGTAACTCATAGAAGTCTGGTTCCATCCCTGTATGAGATGAGCGGGAATTAAAACAGAGTACATAACAACAGCAAAACGAAGACAACAGACAACCAAAATAAAAATAAAAAAAGCTTCAAGATCTCCTCGTGTATGGAAGACAAAAAAATCTATGTTGATTAAACAATATTATTTAGGGTGGTATACAATGAAGAAATAAATATTTGACCACCCTGCTATTTTGCACGTTCTCCCACTAAGAAATCATAGAGGGGTCGTAGTTGGGGCCATGGTCTTAGAGATTTTGGGGAACAACCTCCTTCCCTCAGTCGCAGCATTGAAGATGGGTTGGGGCTGAGTCTTCCAACATGACAATGACCCTAAGCACACAGCCAGGATAACCAAGGAGTGGCTCTGTAAAAAGCATATCAAGGTTCTGGCGTGCCCTGGCCAGTCTCCAGACCTAAACTCAATAGAGAACTTTTAGAGGAAGCTCAGACTCAGTGTTTCTCAGCAACAGCCCAGAAACCTGACTGATCAGGGCTCAGGACCGATCCCCATAGGCATCCCAGACAAGTGGGACACAAGGAGGGCAGATATAGGAATGGCAACACCCACCAGAGAAGGGCAGACTAGAGCACCCAGAGCCCACCTCTCGAGGGACCAAACCCAAAAGGAGCCCTGTCCCCTAGTGGGCCATAGTGCCTAGATCCTACAGGGTTGTGAAAGCAAGCACATAGGCTCTGCGGGCGGCCAAGATGGACCCTATGAGAGCCCAGGGGTCAGAGGCCAGGGGGGAACACCACGCATTATTGGGGACCCCACACACAAAGGAGGCTTAGGCCCCTCCAGGTTAATAGCATTGTGCGGTATTTCTGGATGCAGCCATGACTCGGTCAGAATGATGGCCCAGCAGTTACTGATCTTTGATGAGAGTTCCAGTCGGAGATTATCCATTTTGTTTGCCAGCGAACTGACATTGGAGAGCATGATTGCGGGAAGCGGAGGTCTGTGAGGATTTCTCTTTAGCTTCACAGTTAGCCCCCCTCTGCTGCCTCGCTTTCTCCGTCTCACGCATCTCTTCCTTCGCAGTTATGTTCCGCTGTTGTGTTGTTGAGATCCGTCCGTAGCACTCCGCAGCTTTTTAAACGGTCAAAAATGTCAGTATTTAAAACATTTTTTGTCCGTAGCTCCAGCAGGCGTCTGTGATCATAGATGCGGGTTTGGTGTCTAGTTTGTATCGTTTTAAACAGCATATTTTGTAAAGTTGTCAAGAGGAGTTATTCTTTGCCGCTGCTTTGGAGCCCTGCCATGGTAAGCCTAATAAATGAATAATAAAATAAAATAAATAATAAAGCCCCAATATATGGACATATGCAAGCCCTCGACTGGGGCGCACACAGGGGCACAGAGTAGACATATTATAATTTGTTCTGAACAAGCATTTTGTTAAATAAATGATTGTGTTTAGTCAATAAAATTGAGTTTTGTGAGTTTTTAAAAAAAATAGTGCCAAGTACGTTTTTCTTTAAAAAAAAATCATACATCTGTATAGTCATCACGATTTGCAGTTAGAATATAAAGCTTGTAGCCTAAATTAAAAGATTTTCAGCCAAATTATTGTCATCAAGGCAATAAAACACATAGCATTTGTCTCTAAGATCTGTTTTCTTATGACTCATATCATGCTCTTTTGATGGGTTATTGGGTTGAGCAAGAGCTGGATGACTCCTAGAGGGTATGGAAAAAGCACTGGAAGGTAATTCCTCTGATTTTTTGTCTTTTCTAGCATTTCTTCATCTCTACGCTTAATAAAAAAATGTACAGTAAATAAACAAATAGAAATGCTGAACAGGGCTAAACTGAGCCAGACTGCTCAGTAATTCATGCAGGTTATATCTCAGGCATTTCCTGCTGATCTTGTCCTGCTGAGTGTTAAAGGTGTATGAAAGGTAAAACAGATTTTATTCCAAATCTGTCTTTACTCTATATTTTAGATAATTCAACTACAATATTCGATATACCAGTATATCCTCATGTGATCTTTGCAAGGCACCTGAGTGGAAAAAAGTTGTCATATTAAGTGACAGGCAGATAAAAGTGAAAAAAAATATTAGCTTTAACTTAAGGGAGACTGGGTTTTGATGCTGAAAAAGGAAATGCTCCTGGGGCAATTTAAATGTCTGCAAGTGAAGATAGAATCTACAGCACATCTAGGAGGCTACACACGAGAGAATTTCTCACTTTGGTGTTACCAAATCTAGAGCATTCCAATGTAGACTTTCCCATACTAATATTATACACATGATGATCATTTACATTCCGATTGCTTTCAAAATAAGATAATGCTGTCACTTGTAGGCAAAGACCAGAAGTCCCTATTAGGCAGATGGAATATTTAACAGCATAACATAAGCTGACCTTTATCCACTTCAAAGCATGCACAATAATAAAAAAAACATTAAAAGGTTCTCATTTGTGCATTTCTATAGAGCCAGAGCAAGTTTTGGAGATTACAAAATTGTTTCTAGTTAGGAAGAGGGACAGCTCAAAAATGGATTCCTGCAAAAAAAAAATTATAGAAATCTACAGCTTATGCAGCACTGATTGCTTATAGGGACACCATAGTTTAGCAGCTGGGGAGTCAGAGGCCAATGTCTCAATTACAGAAGAGCAATTACTGTAGGGGGGGAGAGTTGTAGAGTGCACTCAGTGCGTTTTCTCACTAAAACCAGGACATTGTTGAGACCTCAAACAATATCCTCTGTGTCAATCTGAACATGAAACCTCTGTATGTATCTATGTTATGTTGTAGTAACATTGCTACCCCCCTAAAAAAATCACTACAAAAATGTATACTTATGTACTACTATTTGTTTATTTGTCATATATATTATAATTAAATTAAAATACGTTAAGGTTTGCAGTTGTATTCTGAGAAGATGTGTAAAAGTTTGAACTGTAAAAATACAACAATAAGCCTCTAAAAATGACAATGTTGTCAACACCTTGATAGTTTTTGTTAGTGTTAAATAGTTCTTTTGTTCTCTATGTGAGATAAAAAGTAACACATCAACTTCTTTCACTCAACACCTTCACACTTACCTCCGTTACAGCAAAGCTGCGTTTCCCACAGGGCACAACCTTGTACCATTTGTCATGCAGCATGTCCATGAAGCCATCGGATTTGTACTGACTAACAAGCTCTGAGAAGTTGGAGGTGAGTGGAGAGTTCTGAGGGAGGCCAATGCCGTAGCCTGCCCACAGCAACACAGACACAAAGGAGACTCATTAGTGGGTACACTTTTTAAAGGTATAAACATGTAGCTCAACATATTTTTCACTGTTTTGAGTAAAAATAAATCTTTTCACATGCCTCAGCAGCCCAGAAAAGTGTGACAAATTCTGCAATAGCCAATTACAAAAGTACCCTGGTTTCCCTGATTGATTTGTATTGTATCCTGAAGGCTTAAGGGTGCATTAAGTAATTAACAACAGTGCTGGAATCCAGGGCTGTGGTGGCCTGTAATGGAAGCAGGTACCATGGGAACATTTCCACAGTGGGAGGAAGCGGTCTGCTAAATGGACCTGAGATTAACTGTGGACGGTGGAGAGTGTAAGCTTTTGAAAGCCAGAAAGATTAATGCAAAGGGTGAATCATTGATATTGTTAAATTTAGGTGTTTTTAAAATAAAAAAATCAGAAAATCTAGAGTGATTCTTATTAAAGTAAAATTCCATCTGGGGACCTCAATATGCAGTTTTTGGTAAAGCTAAGGAAGCTGACTCAGAATACTAAACGGTTTGACAGATATTAAGAAACACATAGCTAATTATTCAAATTAAGTAAATATTATGTTTCTTTTTTGAATAAGAATTACTTTAATTGTTCACAGAGGGAAAAGTCAGAAATGAAAGGGGAATTATTTTTGCTCTGCTCTACTGATTTGCAGAAGAGAAAACAATCAAAACTTTGTCCCAAGCTGAGAAGTGCCCCCTGATGTCTCCACCGTTCCTGACAACATGCATGAAGGCAGATATGACTTAGTAGATAAGAGGTCATCTTCTAATTGGAAACACAAAGGGATCTGCTGCTGGTAAATTTATCTTTGAACAGATGAATTAATGCACAAAAAGAGCTTTTTATAACTTTCATAAAGTTGAAATATATTATTATATGTAGATAGGTTACCGGTAATTAGAGAAAATACTTGTCCGGGTTATGAATACTAATTTCTTCATGACTACAGGGTTACTTTACGCCCATTTTTGTCCAGGTCTGCTTCATTCATTTTTTTCTTCAAATAATTCTATTTTAGCATGGTTGGAAAGTATGTCTGTAAGTATGTTTCATTTGTTTATTTTTGAACGAGTTGTGTTTAGTATTACTTGTTTCAGTTTCAAGTTATTTCTGCAACCATTTTTCTTTTATCAAAGAAGGGGTACAATAATTTTGTGCATGTGATTCAATTCAATTCACAATAAATGTCCCCTTTTATTTCATATCTTAATATATTGAAACTTTCTACAAAATGTTGTTCATATAAAATCTTTCAATATAAATAATTATTTTCCAAGAGACTAATTCAACCATAAGAGGTCTGGTCCCATCTGTGAATCATATAAAGCCCATTTGTAAAAGAAATATATAGGAAGCACGGACCATTTCATCCAGCAGTTAACCTACTTTGTATGCTAGGTAGATTTATTTATTTAGTATTTATATATGTAATTAGTAATATAATTAACAATAATTTACAGCTTGATAGGCATGACATTTTAGGTTTGCTTCCATAAACAATTTTTAAATTGACTAAGAAAGACCAAACCATTGTTTTATCTATCCAATCCCTCCATACCCAATAAGAAAAAAACTCAATAAGATGCCCTCCAGGCACACGTACTGCTCTCTACAGTCTACAGTCCTCCTAAACTGCATTGTAACAAGCAGCATCAACTGGATTATGGATTAACTGTCAAAGCAGGGGTTGCCATTAACAACAGAGCAGACCCATGTAGATCTGAAATGGTACCTAAACAATTTTAACCCATATTTACCCATAAATCTCCATTTTGCATCAACACATTCACTTATTGCATTCAACTATGTGAATGCAATTTACCTGCTTAAAGGGAAAGCAACAATACAAACCATGTTTTAGACAAACTCAAAATAAGCACTCCGTCTTTAGGATGTCTGCTAATTGTTCATGAACCCTGAGATGAGATCCTCTTGTGACAAGAAGACCCTCAGATCTTCTTCCAACAAACACACAAGATCATGCGGGTGTTAACTCTGATGAATTGCATCCACGATTAATCTTAAGGGCCAGTTAGAAAATATTAGAAAATATAGAACCAACAGTTTTAACTCTTTCCCCGCCAAACACTTTCTGTTCGTAGCCCTAAGGGTTGCTACGTGCTGTTTACAAAGTCGGCAAGTATGGCAGCCAGTGAGTAACATAAAGCTCTTTGATCAAGTTTCCTGACTTGAAAAAGCGCTATATATATGTACAGGCCATTTACTATATTACCAGTTATGATATAACATGCAATAAGAAATAAAACAGGCAATGAAGAGATAGTGTGTGTTATTGCAGTTGTTTGCAGATAACCTTAATTTTCTGCAGTCTTCTACATTCTCATTATTTAACTGTCAATAGAAAAAAGCATTCCAGCCACAAAATGTATTTGCTGCTGTATGTACAGATGTGTTGTTTAAAAGCAGATTATAAATGCATGTCACTTATTGGAATTATTATTCCATCCAAGCAGAAATTGAAATTTCCAATGTTTCACACATTAATATTGCTATTAAAACCATTAATAATGCATTGAGTTAATCGAACCACTGATGGTGTGCCATTTAAAATAAAACTGCAATCACGGCAGTACTATTATTTTATTTACCCACCTTTCAAAAAATGATAACTTTTTCTTCCAGCTAGTTTTTCATTTCTTGATGAGGACGTAAATCAGTTTTCAGGTACTTGGGACATTTTTTCTTTTATTAATAATTCATATGTATGGAAAGATTACACTGGCAATTTTCTTTTAGAAAAAAGTGTCATGAAATAAAGAGTTGTTAAGAAAAAGCTCTGCATTTCTGTTACATTCTTTTAAGATGTGACAGGGGAACACCAGCACATTCTCTGCCTGATTCTACAATGGCTGACAACAAAGACAGCAGTATAAAACCTGATGTTTTCTGTAGATATTTTACAGTATCGGAGAGAGACAAAGCAAAGACAGAAGAAGAATGCCAGCTGTCATCAGATATCAGAGAACAATTTAGGGTGTAGCTCCGACGGAGCTGCCAGCAAAGCTGACAGTGCCACGCAACAGTGAAAATAGAGCAGCAGGCGGCACATCAGATCTTTAAAGACACACCTGGTTTGTAATTTCTTTCAAGTTTGCAATTTGTAGTGAAACATTTATTTTAATTGGCCATCGTTTCCAATTTTTAGCCCTGAAATGTGTTTTTTAATTATTTCTCGTAAGATAGAAAGTTACCTGCATATGTGAGTATGTGAGAATCAAATAATGTTTAAGGAGATAACTTTAAGATATTACCTTCTATGGCAAATGGTTTCCCCACTGTTAAGGTTTTACAGTCGGCATCTATGGAAACCTCATAGTCCAGCAGAGCTTTGTCCATGATGAATGCATCCAGTTTCTGAGGGTCAGCCCTGTAATAAGACAGAGAGAGGACTATAGAGGAGTCACCATCATCCCTTACTCTATTGAATAGCATTGCAGTTACATTTTGTACTGATATGCTAAAGGCCATGGATGTTGTTGCAGAGCGAAAGGTGATGCACAGATTTATCTTTGTCCTCAAGGACTTTTCAGAGAAAATATTGCAAGAACTTTTTCTGTTAAGAAAATACATCACAATAGCCACTATAATATTACATTTTATATGATATAATAGAATGAAGCAGGTGATCAACAGATGGATCTGTGTGGCTACTGCCATACTGCAGAGGCTGCACTGGTCTGTTTTGTTAAAAAAAAAAAAAAAAAAACTGAGACAAAAGGAAATGCTCTGGATTTGCTGGTCATTCTGCATTCCTATGCTTTACCTGTGGAAAAAAAACTGGGTCATGACCATAAGAATGAGATATTGGAGTCAAACATCTAAAATAAGCTTCCTATGCAGGGTTGCCTGGTATTCCCTCAGAATCAGAAAAAGGGTAAGGAGCCTGGCCATCCTAGTCTTGGCAAGTCTCGACGAGTACAATTAGCCTATTTTATGCAACGCTGATCAATGCGCATCAGAGGTGAGGTATGCATATCTGAATTGAACCTGCACCAGCTGATGGTTGATTTATTTTAAAGAGGTGCCTATTTTAAAACCTACCTTTTCAATTAAAATAATGTAGGAATTGGGGAAGAAGATGAAACAGAAACTAGCAAATGTGTTATAAGTTATGTGTAGGAATTTTTAAATACTACTTTACAAAAGCATCCTTTTACAAAGTTATAATAGTGTGAGTTTATTTTCTTCCTTTGCCAGTGGATAGTTTTGTTTTTTAATAATGATAAAAATTCACCAAAGATAAATATTTTCTTCCTTAAATGCCTTAAAGAGCAGCAAGCTGAATGCAGAATGAGTACAACAATGCTCTCTTAACTGCACTTATGAGAAAGCATCTGCAGTGCACTCAACGTGTGTCCAGCATTCATCTACCACAGCAAGCTGTAGTAATTAAACATGAGTGTTGACACAATTTGTGCAAGCACTTCTCAGGGTAAAGAGCAAACAGTGGGGCATTATTCTGCAAAGTCTTATCAAAACTAAACATGGAAATTCATAATGCATTCAAGGTGTTTAGACATTGCTGCAGGAAGGTAATCTATCTTTCCTCAAGATGCTGTGATGGTTTTGTCTCTGTGTTTTGTTAAGCATTTAAAACCTTTTGGCAGATTTCCTGAACAAACATTCATCAGCTGGTGATATCTGTAACTCAAGCAACCTTTAGATTGGTAATATCATCTTTAGACAAATAACTTTTACGATAATATCAGATTATTGAAATTGTTCTGCTACCCTGGAACTATTGCTCTGTCTTGTTTTTCATTTGACTTTGTATGGCATGATAGTAAAATAATGTAAACATTTATCAATTAAATTGCTTAGCAATTCTTATGTTCCTTTCAGATGTACACTAGATGCATCACCAGAAATGACTTTAATACAAAAACAATTTAGAATTTTAGCTGTTTAAAAAAAAAAAAAAAAATCTAAATCTGATTTAAGATTAGAAACAGTGTGAAAATGACATTGTGACACTGTTTTGACTAAAACAGGCTTATATTAGCATTGAATACTTCCAGTTAGGGTTGTGAGACGGCATTCAGTATATACTCTAAATCACTAAAATATTTTAAGCATACAAATCACAGAAAAATCACTGCGTGTGCAAGTTCAACCAGTTTATATTGATTCTTTACAAATATGTTATAAAGGATTAAAAGCTAAAGCTTTTAGCAAGGCCTTCAGAAACAGAAATTTACAATGGTAAAAAAAGAGGTTTTCAAACTCTATTGCAGTTTTTATTTTTTTTATCAAGGACAGCATTGGAGATCTTGCTCCATCCCCAACCCACAGGTAGGCAGTTCATTATAGCAAATTGAAATATGTTGCAATTCTAAGCCTCTGCCTTAAAACCAGTTTGCAAGTTACCATACCAACTCACTGACATGATTAAAAAAATATTTCTCCTTTTGCTCAAAACATGCTTATTCTAGATTGAAAAAAGAACTTGTAATAATGTAAATGATTTTTTCTGTCAAATTAAAATAAACTTTTATAAATTTAAATTATGAAGAAGATATCGAAAAAAATATTATCTTTCTGATGTAACCTTTAAAGAAATTTTATGTTTTTTCATTGGTTGTTAGGAGAAAATTAATATACAAATAAGATTTAAAGGCTTGAAAAAAATCTGCCTGTCTGAAATAATTCTATACAATTTGTTTATTTGGTGACATAAGTTAAATAAATGAACCAACCTTTCAAGTAAATCAAATTTACTGAAAGTAATGGTATTGCTTATTTTAGGTACTACTTGGTAAGTTGGTTTTCCAGCCTAAAGGAGCAATGCTTTTGAATTGGTGTTTTAACACGTTAGACAATGGACTCCATTTTGAAGAACTCAATTTTGAAGATGATTAAGTTCTATAATTTTATTCTATATTGTTTTTCAAGATTACAACACATTTGGTTAGCTTATTGTATGATTTGTTTTTGACATTGATTATGAAAAACATATCTTAGAATTGTAATA